TGAAAACTGGAGTTATACCAAAATTCTGCGAGAGCCAAGTATCGGTGCCACTTGTTCGGGTAGGCGTGGGTGAAGCATCAGAGGTAATTCTCCAGGCACTGATTGACGCACTCTGTTTGCCCGTCTGTTTGCGGATGGTATGGCGTGCTCATGTTGAGCTTGGTGCCAATAGTCTTGAATAGCTCACGCTAAAATCCGCTGGTGAACACGGGGTCTTTGTTAGAGACTATTGCTTCAGGGAGGCCATGCAGTTTGTAGATGTTCTCCAGGTAGGAATGAGCCACTTTAGCTGCCGTGAATGGGTGGCTGAGAGGTAGGAAGTGGGCATAGCGGGTAAACTTGTCGACCACAACTATAATGCAATTGAACTTGCCCGAAGAGGGAAGGAAGTCGATGAAGTCCATGGTGACTACCTTCCACGCACCATTTGAGACTGGGAGAGGTTCGAGCAGGCCGGGGTAGCGGACGCGCTCTGGCTTGGCTTGCTGGCACACGGAAAATGATTGCACATATTGCTTGATATGCTCCTTCATTTTGGGCCATGCGAATAAGCGGCGGAGACGCCTATAGGTCACACGCACTCTGGAATGGCCGCCCATAGTGCTGCCATGGAAGGTGCGGAGCATGCGTTGTTGTAGAGCAGGGGAGCTCCCAAGCCAGATTCTGTCTCTGAAATACAACAGTCCGTCGCGCATCTAGAAGCGCTTCTTCGGGTCTGGTCGTCTGTCTAGGTCGCTGATGATATGCTACACTTGTGTGTTGGTCCTGTAGCTAGCCACAATATCGTCCAGCCAAACAGGCTTGCAAACTGAAATGGCTGTGATGGAGGTGTCTGGTGTGCGACGTGACAGCGCATCAGCTGCTGAATTTGTTGGCCCCGGTCGGTAGCAGATTTTGTATCTGAGCCCAAGCAGCTTGGTGAAGGCCTTTTGTTGACATGGAGTGGACAAGTGCTGATCGTATAGGTGCACAAGGCTACGTTGATCTGTGCGGATGGTGAACTCTCCCGTCTGGAGATAAGGGCGCCATTGTTCAATTGCCATTAGGATTGCCATGCATTCTTTCTCGTATGTGGATAAGCCTCTATTCTTGGGACCCAGGGGCTTGCTCATGTAAGCAATGGGATGCCCTTCTTGTTGGAGAACTGCTCCTACTCCATAGGCGCACGCGTCCGTGTCGATGGTGAACTTCTTGGTAAAGTCGGGCAGTTGGAGGACTGGTGCTGAGGCTAGTTTCAGTTAGAGTATCAAAAGCCTGTTGTGTGCCGCTTGTCCACACGAACTGCTGGTGTTTTTTGAGGAGGTTGAACAGTGGTCGTGCAATAATCCCAAAATGCTGGACGAACTTGCGATAATAGCCAGCGAGGCCGAGGAGGCCGCACACCTCTTTGAAGCAAGTGGGGGTTGGCCACGTTTGGACTGTCAGTACTTTGCTGGGATCCGTAGAAACACCATGCTCATTGATGACATGGCCGAGGTAGGCTATTTGTTTCTGGGAAAATGAGCACTTTGACTGCTTGACTTGCCAGTGATCTTCTCGAAGTAGTTGCAGCACTTGTCTGAGGTGTTGTATGTGATCAGTCAAAGTCTTACTGAATATGAGGATGTCGTCGAAGAATGAGATGACACAGACGCGGTTTACTGGCCGGAGAGTGGTGTTGATGGCGCCGTTGAAGGTTGCTGGTCCTCCGGCGACACTGAACGGCATGACGCGGAATTCCCAATGCCCTGGGTGAGTTTGAAAGGCTGTCTTGTATTCTTATCCTTCTGCCATGTGTATCTGATGGAAACCGGCGCGCAAATCAAGTTTAGAGAACCACTTGGCGCCTGCAGGTTCATCCAAGAGTTCATCGATGATAGGTACTGGGTACATGCTAACCACGGTCATGGAATTGAGCCGGCGGTAGTCCACGCAAAGACGCCAAGAGTCGTCTTTCTTCTTGACGAGCAAAGCTGGGGAGGAGAATGGGCTAGAGCTTTTTTGGATCACACCGGAGTCAAGTAGTTCCTGAACTTGCCGCTCGATCTCAGTTTTGAGCTCCGGTTTGTATCTGTACGAGCGCAAATTGACTGGTTGAGCACCCGCCATCAGAGGAATTTTGTGGTCGAACTCGCCACGTGGTGGAAGGCCACGTGGGTCTTCAAACACATCAGTGAACTATTCCAGCAGACGCATGCCTTCTGTTGGGATCGGTGTGTCAGTTGTGCTGCTCCCGTTCAGAGAATTGAGATGAATAACATGAGCGATTGAGCCCTGCTTGCAAGCCTTGAGCAGCTCAGGGGCAGAGATCAGTGAGCATTGCGTCTGATCGGACGATACCGCTGACATCTTCAGTTGGCCGCTCAGTGTTGTGACTGTCAGGTGCTGTTCTATCCAATCAATGTTCATAGGGCTGTGCTTGCGTAACCAATCCATTCCTAGTATGGCGTCATACGATCCGAGTTTGATAACCTTAAAGTCAGTCTTGAACTCGTGCTCATGAGCGATCCAGGAGCAGTCAGGGATATAGTGGGTGCAGGGAATGGTGGCGCCATCTGCAACGCCCACACGGCGTGGTCGTGCTAACAGAGTGATCCCCGATAGCTTGGAGGCAAAAGAACTATCCACAAAGGAGGTGGAACTGCCAGAGTCAACCAGAAGCAGTACTTCATGTCCTTGCACCCAGGCTTGGAGTTGCAGAACACCAAGAGCGGATGAACCATCTTCCGCCTGACGGGACAGAGTGCACAGATTTTCTTCGTCGGAGATCGGCGAGTCTGGTGGTGATTCTGACACAGCATCGTCCATACTGAACATGGCAAGTAGCTAGTCATCCACAATGTGCATCTGAACTGTGGGCGGGCACGCGTGGTCCTTGTCCCATTTTTCGCCGCACTTGAAGCAGAGTCCCTTCGCGCGCCGGAATGCACGGAGGGCGGCCACCTTACTAGCTTCAGATGTCACTCGGGCAGCGTCAGTTCCACGCCTATCTTTAAAACTTGCTGTAGGCGTGGTAGGTCGCCCAAAGAATGGTGGTGACGCCGTCCTGGGAGCTTGGCCTTGGCTGCGGTTGGCATGTGGAAAACACCCGTACGGTAACTCGCCGTCAGCCACTTCCTCCTGAAGTAGGGCCAGCGAGCATGCCGTGTCCAGGTCCGGTGGGCGCTGCACGAGCACCACTGCTCGGATGTCCGGTCACAGTCCCTCGACAAAACGCGTCAAGAAAAAACATGGGTGAGTAGATTCTGAGTATGAAACCAGGTGATTCATCAGAGATTCGAATTGCTCAATAAAATCAGCAACAGAGGTGGTTTGTTTGATGGCATAAAATTGGCGGATGAGCATCTCGTGCTTATCACGCCCGAAACGAATGCAGAGAAGAGAGACAAAAGTCTCCCAGTCCATGCCCATAATTTTTTTCTGCACGGACTGCAGCTAGATCCCTGCTGGTCCGGAGAAATTGAGAGTCGCCATTGGCACACGATAAGAGTCGTGGATCGAAAACATCTGAAAATACTGCTCGCAAAGAGTTTTGCAGAGTTGTGGGTTCTCGCTGGTGAATAAGGGGAAATTCACGGGCGGTGGTGGCTGCCCCATAGTGGCGAGGACAAAGGACGACAGAGGAGGTGGATGGGGAACAACAAGCGGGAGGGAAGGCGTACCCGTGACCGGGAGTACCACCGACGACTCTGAGGTCCCCGGTGATGGCCCCCCGGTAAGATCGACATCGCCGTGGTCACTTGGCCCGTGGAGGCTTCCTCGCGCGGCGGAGGGCGGCTGCGGAGTTGGAAGCACGGGCGCTGCTCCACTAGACGGGTGCGGCGTGGCCGCTTGGAGCGAGGCGACCGTGGTCTCCAGCTTGGTGAAGCGGGCCTCCAGATCGGGCTTCCAACGAAGCAAATCATCGATCTGGGACGTCTGCGCTTGCAGTTGCTTGAGGACGATGGCGGAGTCATTCTTCGCATCTTGGTGAAGCTTGTCGAGATACTCCTTGAGCGCAGGATCCATGGCGGCAAGGAAAACTTGCCGCGCGTGGACGTGGTGACGAGTTTCCAGGATGAAACGCGACAGATTTGGTGGTGTGTGGTCTCTGATACCAGGATGTTAGGTACCGAATCGATCTAATCACTATGCTCCAGATACAAGTCTCAAATTCGAATTACAACCAGCCTCTCGCTGTTCTTGTGGAAGAAGGGGAAGTAGGTGGGGAAGGAGAGGAGAGGAGAGCCGCCGGTTCCTGATCCTTCTGGATGCCTCTCTTCTTGCGTGTGAGGGGATAAGTAGTCGTCAGGGCGGTACGGGCTCAGCGGCCCCATTCCGGCCCGAGAAATCTCCTGTTGGGCTGTACGATCCTCTTGGGCCTGCTGTCGATCCGCCTTGCCACCAGGCCGTCGTTGGTGACGTGGCTCGCTGCCGTGGCAGCCCCCTTGGTCGTGGCTGTCGAGGCAGGTCGTGCGCTGACAATATGGCGCCGGCGGAAGGGAACGTGAGTAGGAAGACGGCGTGCGTCACTGTAGGCAGTGGGTACATCGCCTCGGCGCTGGTCAAGATGCTGCTGGAGAAGGGGTACGCCGTGTAGACCACCGTCAGAAACCCCGGTAATTGCTTGCTCTAGATCTTCATTTACCTCTGGTTTAATCATCAGAACTTACTGAATGAAGGTGGTCATATGCGTCGTGGTGTCTTGGATTCTCAGATGATGCGGAGAAGACCGCGCATCTCAAGGCCTTGGCAGCGCTCGGCCCCTTGGAGGTCTTCCGCGCCGACCTGAACCAAGAGGGCAGCTTCAACGACGCCGTCGCCGGCTGTGACTACGCCTTCCTCGTCGCCGCTCCGGTGACCCTCTTGCCGGAGAACCCTGAGGTAAGCAGCAACCACCAAACTCCAGTTTTAACATCACTGAGGCTATGGTATAACCCACTATTGAGTATTGACTGCGTTTGCTTTGCTTTTTTGTGTGTTGCTGCCTGTGATGTCAGGAAGAAGTGATCCAGCCGGCGATCCAGGGAACCCTGAACGTGATGAGGTCGTGCGTGAAGGCGGGGACGGTGAAGCGCGTGGTCCTCACATCGTCGACGGCCGCCATCTCCAGCCGGCCGCTAGAAGGCGACGGCCATGTCCTGGACGAGGAGTCCTGGTCCGACGTCGAGTACCTCAGGGCCAACAAGATCGGTACTTGGGTGCGTACACACCTATCGTCTGTGCATGCATCTTCACTTTCTTCAGTCAAGTTGAAAGTAGCATAAGAAAGTTTGCAAAAATTGAGTGGACACCGGCTGCAAAACTCCACCCGTGCATACCCTCTCCGATCTGCCGCCACCTGTCCCCTGTTTGCATCCCACGGCATCCCCTCTCGCCCGCTCTGGCACTCCTTTCTTCGGCTCGTTCGGTCTCTTCGGGCGCTTCGGCTCGGCTCGATCGGTACGCACGATCCCCATCTCCATCTTGTTCGACGTCCAGCGGACAGCCATGGCCGAGCGATAACGGCTGAGTGATGTGGCGGCGCCGGCGGGGCGGAGTGGCTTTGACAGCGGACCAAGAGGCATCGTCGACACCTATGCCCACGACACCACGAGCGGTGCGCGTCCGTGGGAGAGCTGCTCAACCTCCCGGCGTCAGAAGACCCAGATCAGACTACCAGCCGCCGTGGCCGCCGAAGTTGGACATGGAGGCGCCCCTGCTGGCTCACGGCGTGCAGCACCCGCTCGGCAAGTACCTACGTGCATGGCGCCAGCGTGCTCTCGTGGCCATGAGCTCACTAGATCTGATATCCGTATTCACCCACTGTTTGTAAACCAACAAATGAAACAACTGAAAGAATTCGTGTTCCCGATTCAAAAAAAGTGCAGCTTTTCATTGGTGAACCAGCTCCTTCCATAATAGTTTGATTTTTGTAGCTTTGTGGTCGTAGCAATTTTCTTTTCAATGGGCATAGCAATTGTAAATTTGTAATAGCCTCTCTTCCTAGAGCATGACTGTATAATACTCCCTCCATCCCAAAATAAAGTGTCAAAACTTTGTACTAGCTCTAGTACAAATTTGTACTAAGCTCAAGATACTTATTTTGGGACGAAGGGAATAGTAAACAAAAACATGTTGCCCTGTTTTGCAGCAGCTGTTCATGTCGGTTGCTTGGATTGCATTGTTATGTGCTCTATGTTGCCGACACCATGACGCACAATTTCTTTGTGTCCCACAAAGCCTCCTACAGTTTAGATGTCTGATGTCTGAATTAATAATTGTTGCACTGATAGTTCAGGTTTGCAAAAATAGGTTTTGAGTGGCCTTATGGTTATCTTGGATTGACAGATAGCTAAGCTAGGATGAGGGAACAAGTAATGGTTAAACGGAGAAGCCGATAACCGAGAACATGAAGTAGACCGTGTTAAGTAGACTGTATTATTTTTGCGTTTTCATGGCCTGCTACGTGGTCAGAAAAGATGTCAAAACGCTCGCTGATGTTCTGTTGAATGGAGTTCAGAGTTCTTGATTGCAAATTTTCTAATCTGTAAAAGGATATATATACCTTCGATCATCTATAAATTGGAGAAAAAACTGATGTTTTATATCGTCTTTGATGTCGGGGTTTTTTCACAGCTAATTTGTCTTTTACATGTTCATATCTTGATTTTGTTGCAAATAGGAAACCACAACTAGGTCCTGCTAGCTCTTACATAAGAGAACCTCATTTCATCTCTTTTTTAGAAAGGATGACATTAATGTATCAAAAGTGAAAGCATGCAGATTTCACATTTTAGATTACTGAACATTTCATAGTACTCATACAGCCCTGATTTGAAAGTGATTACAATTTACAAATGGATTCAAATTGGTCTGAAATTTAAACATTAAGGAGTAGCATCTTGCGGCATGCCGGGTGTACCGAGAGAACTTGCTGAGCACACTCTCAATATTGATCCTAAGTATAAGCCGGTCAAGCAGTTTCTTTGGCGGTTTAACTAGGAGAGGCACAAGGCCATTGGTGAGGAGGTGGCACGGCTCTTGGCAGCCGGGTTCATTATTGAGGTATTTCATCCTGAATGGTTAGCTAACCCGGTGCTAGTGCTCAATAATAAAGGCACTTGGCGCATGTGTGTGGATTACACAGACTTGAACAAGGCTTGTCCGGCTGATCCCTTTGCTCTCCCGCGTATTGATCAAATCATTGATGCTACGACGGGATGTGAGCGTCTGAGTTTTTTGGGTGCTTATTCTGGATAACATCAGATCAAGATGGCGGTTAAGGACCAGGAGAAGACGGCGTTCATTACTCCCTTTGGAGCCTTCTGCTATGTTTGTATGCCTTTGGGGCTCAAGAGTGTCCAGGCGACTTATCAGCATTGCATGCAGAATTGCCTTCATACTCAAATTGGCCGCAATGCACATGCTTATGTGGATGATATTGTGGTGAAGTCCAGAGAGAAGGAAACACTGATAGATGATCTCAAGGAGACCTTTGATTATCTATGGGTCTACAATATGATGCTTAGCCCAGCGAAATGTGTTTCTGGTGTGCCGACAGGCAAGCTCTTGGGATTTCTGGTTTCTAACAGAGGCATTGAGGCTAACCCGGAGAAGATCAAGGCTATCACATCTTTGGCAAAACCCAAGTGTATCAATGACATTCAGTGTTTGGCGGGTCAGATTTCTGCTTTATGCCGGTTAGGTGAGAAGGCCATACCGCTGTATCAGATGTTGAATAAGACAGACGACTTTGTCTGGAGTGATGCTGCTAACATTGCCTTTGAGGATTTGAAGAGAAAACTGGCTGAGCCGCCGGTCCTTGCTGCTCCCATTGATAAGGAGCCCTTCCTGTTATATGTGGCTGCTAAAGCACGTGCTGTCAGTGTGGCCATTGTGGTGGAGCGTAAGGAGTCTGGTAAGGAATATCTGGTTCAACGGCCGGTTTACTACATCGGTGAGGTGCTTATTGAATCCAAACAGAGGTATCCACATTGGCAGAAGCTTGTTTATGGGGTGTTCATGGCCAGCCGGAAGCTTAAGCAGTATTTCCTGGATCATCCCATCACTATGGTCAGTTGTGCTCCTTTAGGTGATATCATCCAGAACAGAGAGGCTACGGGACGAGTGGCCAAGTGGTCTATTGAGCTTGGGCCTCACGGTTTAAAGTATGTACTTGTAACCCACAAGTGTAGGGGATCGCAACAGTTTTCCATAAGTAAGAGTGTCGAACCCAACGAGGAGCTAAAGGTAGAATAAATATTCCCTCAAGTTCTATCGACCACTGATACAACTCTACCCACGCTTGACGTTCGCTTTACCTAGAACAAGTATAAAACTAGAAGAACTTTGTAGGTGTTGTTGGATAGGTTTGCAAGATAATAAAGAGCACGTAAATAAAAGCTAGGGGCTGTTTAGGTAAAGACACACTAAAGTAAATATAGCGAGTGTGGAAAAGTGGTGATAGGAATTGTGAAATTGTCCCTAAGCAATTGACTATGTCACTAGACCGATAATCACTATTGCAATTCTATTTGAGGGAGAGGCATAAGCTAACATACTTTCTCTACTTGGATCATATGCACTTATGATTGGAACTCTAGCAAGCATCCGCAACTACTAAAGATTCATTAAGGTAAACCCCAACCATAGCATTAAAGCATCAAGTCCCCTTTTATCCCATACGCAAACAACCTACTTACTCGGGTCTGTGCTTCTGTCACTCACGCAACCCACCATAAGAAAATCATGAACATATTGCAAACCCTACAGCTGGGATCCCTCACGCTTGCGTGACACGGAGGGCACCATAGGACAGCACCAATAATAAAACATGCAACTCAAACCAATCATAGCAATTCATCAATCACCGATAGGACAATGGAAATCTACTCAGACATCATAGGATGGCAACACATCATTGGATAATAATATGAAGCATAAAGCACCATGTTCAAGTAGAGGGTACAGCGGGATGCGAGAGAGTGGACCACTGAATATAGAAGGGGGAAGGTGATGGAGATGTTGGTGAAGATGACGGCGGTGTTGGTGAAGATCGTGGTGATGATGATGGCCCCCGGCGGCGCTCCGGTGCCACCGGAAGCAAGGGGGAACAGCCCCCCCTTCTTCTTCTTCTTCTTCTTCTTCTTCCTTGACCTTCTCCCTAGATGGGAGAAGGGTTTCCCCTATGGTCCTTGGCTTCCATGGTGTGGGAGGGGCGAGAGCCCCTCCGAGATTGGATCTATCTCTCTGTTTCTGCGTTCTCAGATTCTACCCCTTCACCGTTTCTTTAATATCCGGAGATCCGTAACTCCGATTGAGGTGAATCTTTCGCCCAGATTTTTCTCACAAAATTAGCTTTCTTGCGGCAAAAGAAGGGAATCAACCGCCTTACGGGTGGCCCACGAGAGTGCCAGGCGTGCCCCCCTATCTCGTGGCCACCCTGGACACCGTTTCGCGTTAATTCTTCCTTCGGAAAATCCCAAATATTCCAAAATAATTCTCCATCCATTTTGATCCCGTTTGGACTCTGTTTGATATTGGTTTTCTGCGAAACATAAAACATGCAACAAACAGGAACTGGCACTGGGCACTGGAGAAATATGTTAGTCCCAAAAATAGTATAAAAAGTTGCCGAAAGTATATGAAAGTTGAAGAATATTGGCATGGAACAATCAAAAATTATAGATATGACGGAGACGCATCAGCATCCCCAAGCTTAATTCCTGCTCGTCCTCGAGTAGGTAAATGATAAAAAAGATAATTTTTGATGTGGAATGCTACCTAGCATAATCTTGATCATATGTCTAATCATGGCATGAATATTAAGACATGAGTGATTCAAAGAAATAGTCTATCATTTGACATAAAAAACAATAATACTTTGAGTGTACCAGTAAAGCAATCATGTCTTTTCAAAACAACAAGGCCAAAGCAAGCTTATCTCTACAAAATCATATAGTTTGTCCATGCTTCATTTTCGTCACACAAAAATGCTCCCATCATGCACAACCCCGATGACGAGCCGAGCAATTGGTTCATACTTTTTAACGTGCTTCAGCTTTTTCAACCCTCACGCAATACATGAGTGCAAGCCATGGATATAGCACTATATGTGGAATAGAATATAATGGTGGAGGTTTATATGGAGAAAACAAAAAAAGGGATAAAGTCTCACATTGACGCGGCTAATCAACGGGCTATGGAGATGCCCATCAAT